AACGAACCGTAAAGGAAAACAACAAAAACAAACGAATTTTATTTAAGGACATAAAGAAAGATTTTTCCTGCGTCTGGTTGTTGTTGCTTCGTTAGAGCTCTGTCCAAAACTGATGCTGATCATTGTTCTTAAATACCTACCAGGTGGGTTGAATGGTAGGCTTTAATTGCTTCACGGATGACCAATTCCCAAATGGAAACCATGTAGAAACTTATTTCGCAGTTTAGGTAATATGGAGAGACTCGCGTAAGTAACCTAACGTAAGTATTTGGTCACGACTGAAGAATCCTATGATGTTCTGGGATAGTCCAATTTTATGAAGATTTCATACGAGACTTCGAAATAATCCTTTCACTAGTGGAATCGTAATTACATTAGTCAGCTGTCTTTGAGCTCCATGGCTAAGTTTTCGTATTTCATGATTTTCTTTGCCTTAGTTCCGCCCTAATATCTTATACTTGTCAATGATGACAATGTCTGGTCTATTGTAGTCTACTGCTCTAGACTGAAATATAGACCTGACCAAGTACAGCACCGCACTATCTGTTTCTAAAACTGTATGGGGCTGGTATTCGTAACTGAATGGGCATGTCTGAAGATCATAGTTGAGAGCTGGTTGATTGTGACGTCCTAGGTGTGCATTGTCGAGACCTCCAGCATCAGGAAGTGTTGTGCGTAGTTGCGAGTTTTTAATAAGTCTGGCCTGGATAACCATGAGAAATCCCTCATTTTCTGAGTAGAGAAAAACCTGCTTAGAGCCATGATGGTGATGACTTACCATTTTAAAGCATGTTGATCTTATTCTAATGGCGTATAGCCTCGGTCTTATTGAGCTGCTATTCTCATCAAGGAATTTGCTGCATGTTTCCTCTTGAGAACCTTGAGCATTTCTCTGAGAATGCACTCTTCAGGTGTGTGTGTGTGATCCATACTATTATGATTACGATTTATAACGCTCGCGATGAACTAACCAAAAGTATAAAAATGAAATTTAGAATTGGGAATAGTATGATCTCACCTAAAAACTCTTTTAAAAATTTGGGTCTTCGACGACAATAAAAAAAATTAAAGAAAACTTTAGTTTATGTATAAAGAAGGTATTTTCAATGTTAACATTGTTGTGCTCCCATTGTCATAGAACTAAGTCTGTTTTATGTGACACAATTTATGGTGCATTCTTGGATTCTATTGATATTAAAAGGATCCCAAGAGTTCAAAATTATTATGTACAGCTAATATATGGGCGGAGAGATTCTAATAGGAGTGAAGATTTTGGAAGACTTTCTGTGGTTCAGTGGTATGGGCTAAAGTCATATGTCTGTTTTACAAGATAATTAAATTCCAATATCCATCATATCTTCTTAAAAAAAAATAACCTACCGTATCGATGTTCAGAACATAAGAGAGTTTTTAAGAAGTGTTTTTTCTACTAAATACTACAGTTAGTAAATGTAAAATAAATGATGGTAAATGATATCCATTAGTTCATTTGAAAAACAAATGAAGTGTAAATTTAGAACATGATTATATGTGAGCATTTATTTAGATAGTGGTTCGCTAATATTCGTAAAACCACATCTTTCTCCTCTCTTTCTTTCTTAGCACTTTTCGCGTCTGTTTTTTATTTGCATTTCTAATTAATGCGTTTCTTTTGTAGAGCCATATTAGTTTTCATTTTTCAGGCTCAGTTGATTTCAACTTGGAAGGAAGCTGCCTAAGAGCCGATTATTCTTTCTGTGTATTGTTGCATTTGCCATTTTATGTATTGGAATAATAAACTTTATTATTATTAATAATATTACTATTTAATTAGTAATTGTTTAATGATTATGTCGCTGAACACACGAATTGTTTCTATTTATTGTGAGTATATTTCGCATCATTTCAAGATGTCCTTATCACACGCAAAGCTGGGGGAGTATATAAAAATTATAAGATGTCATGAAAGCAGTAAGTGGATGACCATGAATAAACACCCTGACTATAACAAAAACAAACTAACAAATTATATTAAAACTTTAAATAATCAATACTTTAGATAAAAATGTTGCGACTGTGGCAATGATTCCAAGAAACAATGGCAATTTATTAAGAGTTAAATGAAAAACAAAAATAATGTAGATAGAACAGAATCTATAATTGTGAACAATAGAACTTTTAATTGACAATAAGTAGAGTTGAACTGACCACATTGGACATTTCTAGTAAAATTACACTAACACTGTAGAGAAAGGAAGACTAAGATTAATATATACAATTCCTTCTTTTTAAATTCGATGCAAGGGGCCCTCTACTTAAATTTAGGTATCTGAAAGTAATATTCCATTACAGAAATATACATTCGCACATACCAGGACACAAGATTATAAACAGCATAATAACATTAAAAGTAACAATGGCTTATATAACCTTACTTATCAAGCTCCCAACACATAATCCACTTCCTGATAATGTCAAAAATCATTTGTAAACTTAAGTAATTATTTATACCAGACAGATGTGTTAGTGTATAGTTTTTAACTTAGATGCGTCGTTTGTTTGTTATTTGTCTTTGGTACCAGCGCTTCTAAGCACTTTCCAGATAATTTTTTAAAACTGTATATGTACATATATTTTGAATTTATTTTGTTATATTTCTAAATAAAAATTTGCTTTTATGATCAAATGTTACAATATTAAGCAAATAGTTACAGTGAGATAGATGCTACAGTGAGTATTTTCTATTTTTTAATTATTTAATTGCAATGCGATGCGAACTCTCACGACGTGCTTACCCCGTCGCCAGACAGCAGTATTATAGGTCACTAAAGGTCATAGAATAAAGAAGTTCTGCTGGGTTTTAAGCATAGTCAATATGTTGTCACCAAGACAGTTGACTATCATATCGATTTTATCTGTTGAAAGAAATAACTTTTTAAATAGATATTAGTAGAATATTTAAGACAATCAACCTATAGTATAAGTTATTCTAAAGGTCAGCTAATGCTGATAAATTTCTCAATTTTGGAAAGATTTTTTTAATTAAAATATAATATCCTCTAGATGAAGACATTTTTGAATCCTCGGAGCTTTGGTAGACATAGTTCATATTTCATATTTATTTTGCAGTTCTAAATATTGATTTCCATCTGTGTTATATATTGGAGAATTATTTCCTTACAGAATCGAAGATACTTTAGTGTTGATATTTTTAAAACGAATAAGCACAAGGTGAATAAAAAGTAATAGTGAAATGGAAACATGAAATAAAAATCGTTAATAGTCATTTTTCTCAAATCCACAACCCCGATTTCCATTCATTTCATTTTTCGTTGTTATTGCGGAGTATCTCAGTTATTATTAGAGATAGAACTATGATGCGCTCAATTTTCGAGAAATAAAAGATGCCGTTATCAAAACAATTCTAGCTTTTTTAGTCATAGGGTGAAAAAGAGCATTCGTCCATTTCAGGTGTCCTATGTATGTCAAACACACTCCATCTTAATGGGATTATAAAAACTGAATATTTTTGCTTAGAATGCGTGGCGTATTTCAGTTAACATATTATTATGTCGAGGATTATTATTGTTAAATTCTAAAAATAGCAAACTTAAAAAAAACATCTCATACTGATTACCACCAACTGATTGGTCTAGAACTTGGAATCCAGAATTCAGTGGCTGATTTTTTATAAAGTATAAGTGTAAAGACACAAAATAAAGGTATATAAAACACGACGTATATATTTTTTTAATTCAATTACGCTTTTTATATATACGCTATTCAAAAATGTTTAACAGTTAAGGAATATTTTAAAAAACAATTATAAATATTTATCCTTGTTAATTTCTTTCTCTACAACACTACAATACATTTAAAAAAAGCAGAATTCGCATTATAGGCTGGATATCAGTTTGAAGTAAATTTTCTAAAATGTGAAAATATAAGCCTATTAAAAATATATGTTTAGATAATCATATACTTTTGAGAAACGTATAAAAAGCGCAAACAAATTTTCAAAAATCATCACATTCGAAGTTCGAATTTTTAAAATCATATTTCTTGAAAAAAATCTGAGTAAACCACTGTTTTCCGCTTAAAAAGATGTTTAGGATTCCATTTTTATTATCATTATGATATAGGGTGTTTAAAATGCAAAGCGTAATTTTTTGAAATCTGTACTTTTTGGACACAGTGTGGTGGTGGTGGTAGTAATTCGAGTGGAAAGCGGTTAAAATGACATAGCGATATCTTCACTACCAACCGAGATATAGGGCGGTTTTTTTAAGGCAAATGCAGTCGCGTAGCCAGATTTTTTCTACAGTTCTCCGTTTCCACATTCATGAATACAATTTTCTTATTTTATATGGCAAACATAGTTTGTTGTAGTCTTAGGAAAATAAAGTGCATTTTTTGTTTTTGTGTTAGTAGGCCGTGCATATAGCTGTCAATGTTTCTTAATAACTTTTATTCTTTATTGAATTTTGTCTTTTGTCACATGTAAGAGAGTCAATAAATTTTATTTCAATACATATCCAGAGCCGCATCAACCAGTGTCAGTTTCAAAAAGTTTGAAAAAGTCAAGTCAAAATCAAATCCAATTAAATGAAGAACAGGAAATCCGGGAATTCAATATAATTGGAGAAGTAAGTCCACAAAAATACAATCATCCTGTATATGCCGTAAAAAGCAGGCCCCCCATGTACGCTTTCGTGTTGCATTATCATGCTATCATAATTAAATAAGGCCTCGGTCAAACTGGAAAAAAAATAACTCGTACATCAGTAAAGGTATAACGTAGGGAGGAATACCTTCCGGTAAACGATACTTTTTTCATTTGGTCTTCAAGAAATTACGTACCATTCGGTACGTTATTAAAAATGCCAATGACAGCGGGTTTATTTTCCGGCGCGCCTAAAATTGAAGAGAACAACAAGGAAGCGAGTTTTTACAATCCATCGCGTGGTCGCCAAATTCGGGTATAAATTTGGCGTAACAATAAATAAATCATTATAGCTTTACAAACAGTCAAGCAGTAACCAAATAGTTCAAAAATGTTCAAGTTCGTAAGTACATTGAATTATTTCGCTTTGGGCTTGTAAAGATTCCGATATAGATTTCGGAAATTTTAGGCTGCATATTTTTGGTAAAACAACGTCAATATGTCATGTTTCTTTTTATTAAGATGCTGATCTTCTTAACGAGGATTTGAAGATGAAAGAGTGTGTCGAAAAAAATTGAAGATATGTAAAATGGAACACATCAAGTTTTACTCATTGGCAAGCTTAAAGTGAAGAAATGTTGTTATTTAATGTTAAATTAGAAATATTGCTAAACATACGTATATTAATCAAAACAAAAATATATTTCGCAGAAAAGTGAAAGTAAACTGAACATTAGGCTCTAATATATATATATATATATATATATATATATATATATATATATATATATATATATATATATATATATATATATATATATATATATATATATATATATATATATATATATATATATAATTTTGAGTTTTTTCAGAACTTTTTTTTTGTACAATATAAATATTTCATCAACCTTTTAGTGGCGGAGGGTTAAGATAAAGGTTTTCTATAGATTTATTCTGTTCCTTATACATGCTTAAGTGTTGCTTCAAACTTTTTCTTTTAGATATCAATTCTCGCATGGATATATCTTTTTTTAAATTTTATCGTATCTTTTTATTTTTTCATAAATTACACACTTGTTTTATTTCTCCAATCTGCTCCGTTCTGGGTTCTTTTTTATTTTTTCTCATTTTGTCGCTTTTTTTTCCTCCTCTTCTCATTCGACATTCCGTTTCCTGATACTTTATTAACTAACTAATATACAGGGTGTTTTCTAACTGAATGTCAACAATTCAGGAGGCGATTTTTGGGCCCAATAAAAAAAAAACTTCACATAAACATGTCCTCCTTCGTGTGAACATGTTCTAAACGTATTAACTTTTGAGATACATATATATTTACAAACAAATATATTTTTTTAAATATCTGTGACACCACTTTAGATATCTTAATGAAATTTGGCATATATGTAGCGGCATATGAAGATGTGAATTTAGTGTACAACAATGTTTTTAAAATACACCAGTGGCAGGCGTATGAAATATCACATCTCTGTTTTGGCAAACATTGAACAAAAATATTCTTACAATCTCCAATAATTATTAAAGAAATTTAATTTCTTGATTTTTTTAGTCCGGTTTTCGCTTAAACAAATAAAAATCTCTTCTCTGCTTGGCCATACCAATATCGTTAAAATGACAGAATGCCGAGAATTATTATCATTATTATTTCTAAATTTTTCCAACGATTTTAAAATTTCTTTATTAATGTTATATACTAGAAAAACACATTTATATAGCATATATACATATATATAGCAAACAAGTATATTATAGAGTGGATAGCTTAAATTTATACAGGTACGGCTTTGAAAAAACAGTAAGACTTCTTTTTCAAACGTTAAAAAATAGGCTACAAATTAAAACTCATTTCAATTCAAGTTCAATTATTTGTATCGAAATATTGCAAATGCAATTTTCCTTCTAACTTCTAAAGACATAAACCTAAATTCATCTACGAAAGTCTGATAACTGATGCTTTTTAAAAAAACACAAATCTTAAAAATTTCTTTGTCAAAGTGTGTATAAATTGAGGGATGTTGTATATATATAATGTAAAATCGTAGTATTTTCAATTTTTTTCAATTTGAATAAATTTCTGATTAGAAATCCCAGCATTTTCGGTAGACTTTCATGTTGGTTAGTTCTGACGGTGACATATAACTCGGTGACTAGTTTGCAACTTCTACTTATGACACATACACTCGTGATTAAGGTGGCGTTTCCGAAACGGGCTTCAAAATATGCTCTAAGGGATCCACTAAAGTTATCGCGTTTTTTTTAAATTTTAACTATGGAATCAAAGTAGATGTTCCTTATACCATTAAAAGTCAAACACTTTTTGAAAAACTGAACTTCAAGGCGTGACTTGAAAAGTATATTCTCTCTCCCAACAGGTAGTTTTGGCCGCCACTTTGGCTTACGCGTCAGCCGGAATTTTGCCACACTCCGTGGTAGTGCCAGCCGGCGAGGTTGTACACAGGAGCGTCCAAGAGCAAACTATCGTTGACCCCCCCAAAGTGCAAGTAGCCGTCCATGCCGCCCCCGTGGTTCACGCAGAGCCTGTCGTCGCCGTCGCTAAGGCTGCTCCCGTGGTTGTCCCAGCTGGTGAGGTAGTCCACAAGAGCGTCCAAGCTTCGTCCATTGTTCATCCGTCGCCAGCAGTAGTACATGCTGCCCCAGTTGTACATGCTGCGCCTGTCGCCTATGCTGCTCCGGTAGTCCATGCCGCGCCGGTGGTCCATGCTGAACCCGTCGTCGCTGCGTATTCAGCACCTGTGGTTCACAAATCCGTTCAAGCTCAATCTGTTGTTCACGCAGCGCCAGTCGTTCACGCCGCTGCTCCAGTAGTACACGCAGAGCCTGTTGTCGCTGCTTATTCTGCACCGGTGGTTCACAAGTCCGTTCAAGCTCAGTCTCTTGTCCACTCTGCTGCTGCCGTCCACGCCGCTCCAGTCGTGCATGCCGCTCATGGTGCCTTATGGTAGACTGTGATTTTAATATTGACTGTTTAATAAAATTTGTATCGTAATTGAAATTTTCCAAGTGGTTTTTTTATTTCCTTGCAAAATCAATATATGACTGATTTCTAAAAATTGACGGGGGGTGGGGCAATTTCGTAGCGCGTAGAGCGAAGCAGCTTTGTATTTTGAATAGAAAACGCTTTGCAGTTTTTTGTTCTAGTGGGAGACATTGTTTTTCTATCGTGATCTTGCGGACCACTATGAAACTTTCTCAAAATCGATGTAATTTTATTGTGCATACACCCTGTATAAAGTGTCTTTCAAGCCTCGCCGAACTTCAAAGTTTTAGCAAACTTTGTTAAATATTAAAATTTGTACAAACAATAGCGTTGTCGAATGATATTTTTTCAAATGTCTCGAGCGTCCTGTATAATTGACGAAACCTGAAACTCTTTCTCGACATAGTTTACGATACTATTCAAATCAAATTATAGCATCTTTAGCAGTTTTTCATCTATCCCCATATAAACGGAGAGTTTTAGGATGTTTTAGATTTTTTTGCACGTAAACGACACAGTCTCTATATAATTCAAACAGTGTTCAAAATAGAGGTTATAGCACTGGATCTCCCACGTTTCCTGGTAAATGATTTTTTCCAACAGAGTAAGTAGTTTTCAAGAAAATACTTGTTTTCTGAAACCATGCAGTACGTGGTAATAGCAAATGACGTCATCGAGTCTAGATTGAGGGCGAGAAATGGTGACTTTCATTTGAATTTTTTCAAATATCTCAAACAGCGTATGTGATAGACGGAAACCGTAAACACAAAAATTGTAGCTCTTGATACGGCCTATAACATTCTCGAAAAGTACAATTTTCACAGTCTCTTAGATTTTTCCCCATAATTAGAAAACCACGTGTTTCCTGGTTCTAAAATTTTGCCGATAGGTTGAATACTTTTTGAGAAAATCATGGTTTTCTGTATAATAATCAAAGAAAAATTTTCAATTTTTTTAAAAGTATTTATTAATATTTAATTGTGCTCAATTTCTACTTTTTGGATGTGACTACGGGTAATTTTTTCCTTGCTGAATTTTAAAATGATAGCAACATATTTGAGTCACCCAAGACGTTTTGCATATAGCACAGAATATCCCAAACACACTGTACAATATGTGAAAACTTTAAATACAAAACTTTTAACTGTCTATACGGGGTATATAATCACTTGAAAGAAACTGAAGACAAAATCAAAGCCTTCTAGTTTTAGTGAATTATGATTAAAAGGAAGCCCAATTTTCAGTTTTTTGCAAATTATCGACGCACCTCATACATTTTCTAAAAATCATCAAGAATAAATGTTTTTGGTCCGGACCTTGCGCGTCGTTTGGTTCAAGAACTTTTTTGTACATATGTACTGTTTTTGAGAAATGATTTTTTTCTCGATACCCTACAAATGTGGTTTATAAATATTTAAAAATACTTCCCAACCCCCAGTCTGTCCAATTTCAATGGGTTCCGTTAAGGGACTAAACTCGATCGCTGCAAATCTCGGACACTTATCGTGTTTTATAGCAATGTACGAAAAACGTACGAAAATCGCAAAAAAAAGACAGATGCCAATTTCCAATCGCAGCCATTTCCTATGAGCATTGACAGAGAACAGAGAACGGAGAACAGATATTGAAAAAAATTTTTTTTTCGTCCCTGATCATTTGTGTACCAATGGGGGTCCCCTAGGACCAATCGTTGCCGAGATATGAGTTTCGTTGCCAAGCCCGTATACTTTAGAAAAAATGGATTTTATCGATTTTTCGAAAGTAATAAGGACCTGTATCAGGTTGTTTTGTTTTGTTAGAAAGCAATTTAAGTACTGGGTGACTGACGGTCGATGGTTGACTAGACGGAGAACAGAAAATAGATTTTTCTGAGTCTCAGTTTGAGTTGAGTCTGCCCTACCGAATTAAAATATTTTGTCTCTTCTAATAATTAAAATTTAAATTCACTGCTTCATTCAGATTATTTTTGCATTCTACTTTTCTATTAATTGACATATAGATAGGTAGACAGTTTCTGTTTAAAAGGGAACTTTTACAGGGTACAGTAATCAATCAATTATTGCTTATAAGGAAATACAAACGTTCGTAGCACAAGAATATCTAAAGGGTTATGCGTTCTTATTGCTTCGGTCAATTCTACAAACACTTACTGGAAAAAATATGCAATAAACAAAACAAAGTTAAATAATATTTTAGATAAATGATCTCTTCAACATTTTTTTTTTAAACCGTCAAGAAGGCAAATTATTGAGCAATAAGGATTTACCCTGGTTACGCAAGATTCTGGCATTTCGTTAAAAATGAAAAACCAAAGGAAATGATTTTGGTTTTTGAAATTTTAACTAATAAATTGTTCAACTGAATGTATTTCAAGAGTTTTTAGCTTGCATCTAATGTCCGTCTCAGAGTCCTCGAGTCATTAACATAAGAAGTTCGTTGGTGGCATCAATTGACACACCGTATTGCTTAAAGAAGTCAAGAAGGTCTAGAGATCTTCTCTGAACATCGGTCAAAGCCTTTGACAGAGACTGAAGCATCCTCGTATGAGTTCTTTATAAGATTGATAAAGTTGAGACTGGCACCATAGCTAGTGCCCAAGGTAAGTTATGACTGACAGAGTCGACAGCACTACGAAAATCAACAAAGACGGCATAAAACTTTCTGCTTTCAGTCGCAACTGCAATTGTAATAGGTGTTTTTTTTTATGTATAGACCGTTAAGTTGGCATTGCTGTTCAAGATGGTGACCGATTTAACAGTTGTCAAGTGATTTATTCTCAGTTTGGTTTGGCAATCATGATTAGACTCACGCCTGAACAACGCTTGCAAATAGTGCAATTTTATTTCGAAAATAATGGTTCTGTGCGGAATGGGTATCGCGCCCTACGACCATTTTATCGTCGACAAAATCGTCCATCAGAGTAGTTAGTTCGATTAACCATGGAACGTTTTCGCACCACGTTTACTCTTGTTAATAACTCGCATCCCCAGAGACGCCGTACGGTGCGTACAGAAGAAGCTGTTGCTGCTGTAGAGCGTAACATTGAGGAAGACCCGAATGAGTCCATCCGCCATCCAGCACAGGAATTGGATCCGTGTCCATCCACTTTATGGAAGATTTTGCAGACGGATCTTGGTTTACGTGCTTACAAAATCCAACTCGTGATTTTGCAGACGGATCTTGGTTTACGTGCTTACAAAATCCAACTCGTGCAAGAATTGAAGCCAAACGATCATCAAGTAAGGCGTAGATTCGTCGAATGGGCCCAAAACGAGATTGCCGTTGTTCCCGATTTTCATAAGCGAATTTTGTTTAGCGACGAAGCGCACTTCTGGTTGAATGGCTACGTCAACAAACAAAACTGCCGCATTTGGAGCGAAGCTAATCCTCAAGTGTATGTCGAAACACCGTTACAGCCAGAAAAACTGACTGTTTGGTGCGCTTTATGGGCTGGAGGAATCATTTGTCCGTACTTCTTCAAAAACGATGATGGCCAGAACGTTACAGTCAATGGTGATCGGTATAGAGCTATGATTACTAACTCTTTTATTCCTGAATTGAATAACCATGATGTCCAGAGGAGATGTGGTTTCAATAAGATGGCGCAACATGCCACACAGCTCGTGCCACAATCGATTTATTGAAAGACACGTTTGGTAAACGCCTAATTTCACAATTTGGACCTGTGAATTGGCCTCCAAGATCTTGTGATTTAACACCGCTAGACTACTTTCTGTGGGGCTATGTAAGAAGGAAGACAACATTCGAATTGTTATTGCCGATATACGGCCACAAATGTTGGCAAAAAATAAAATTCATGTCAATCGAATAATCCATCGTTGTTTTATTGCAACGTAAAGTTCTATACATCGAAAAAAACACCCTATACAATAGTAGATATAGCAGATAATAGATGTTATCAATACAGCCTTCCGTTGTGAAAGTTTGACTGGGCTTCTCGTATAATGCCGACAGCAGAAGCCTCCTCAGGAGTTTGTTCGTAGATACTTTCACAACCGTATTCACCAAAGCAATTGATTGAAGTTACGAGGATCATTTCTGTCTCCTTGCTTGTGAATGTCGCATCAGCTCGAGGGCACTTTACCTTTGAGTAAGATTTTAAAAAAATTGGAGTAAAAGATCAGTATTGTAGAAAGTTCCTTAAAAAAATCATAAGGAATGGCATCAAGCCCAGGGAACTTATTATTTTTAAATATTCCAAGAACGTATTCAATTTCTCATGCCGTCACGTTATATCAAAAAGGGTTCCCCCCTAATTCGAGAGGGATACGTTCCTGTCAAAAATGGTTCTCAAAAAGTTGACCACATGCTAATATAATACTATTTACTTAAACTTGCTACTAGAACGAGTGCCACCCCTCATGACCATTAAATTTTTAGTATGTACGCACTCTCTAAGGCTCACCAATGGGGATTGACTTGTCGACCTAGTGGTTGGAGAACCTAGTGCCTAGGTTTTCCAACCGGCTCTCTAGAGAAAAAAGCGTTTATATCAAAACCTCTTAGAGCGAAAACTAATAGTTTGGTATTTAATTTCTTTCACTTCTATATGTTCAAATCCGAGAATATGATATTTTCCCGAAAATATTTTTCTCGTAAATAATGTACAAGCAAATAGAAGCATTTGTCAATATTTCCAGTATTTTGAAGACAACAAAATTAATTGATTTTACTTGATTTTAGCAAAGCCTTTGACATGATAAATCATAGAACACAAAAAGTACTACTTATCGTATTAACCTCTGGGCACTTGACTGTTAACTAGGGAGTACTTTAGTATTTTAGGTCAACTTCTGTTTTGCGATTTTTAGGTTCAAGTGTACAATATTATAGCAGTTTTGTAATTATCGTCTATATGCCGACAACACTTAATTGTACTTTTCTGATTTAAATAGATTTTACTATTCTGTCAATCAACATTTGCTCGTACTTAGGCCTAATAAATCCTCAGTGATGATATTTGGAAATGTCAATCAAATTCATAATGTTAAAAGCAAAGTAAAATTCTATATAAAGAACTCCGTTTTGCCTTTTTGTAGCAGTTGCAAATGTTTAGGACTTACTCTAGATTCTTGAATAAAATTTACAAAACACATTAAAATGTGTCTCTCACAGGATAGTGAATACTCTAGCACTATCACAGTTCAATTATTGTAACAGACATGAATACTTATCTGGATAATATAGAGAAGTATCGTATTAAAAAAGCTCAACTTTAAGCTGGTATATGGAGTTTGATGTAGAGCTCATGTTTCACCATATCTGGTTAGGTCACGCTGGCTTTAAAATGTTCAATCGGCAGAAACTTAATGACCTGTTATTCCATTGCAACTAACCAAAACTTTGTTAATGTTACTGTTAATTATGGTTATAACAATAATATTTAATAAATATTTAATATGGTTATTATTATATTAATTTTATAAAAATGTGAACAAATTAAATATTGATTATTGAGCCTTGTTACTAGGTCACTTGAGGCAGTGTATTAGTTGGGCCAAACTCTTCCCTGGAGATCATTAAAAGAAGTAACACTTAAAAATATTTTACGAAGTGAACACAAGATTATTAGTAAAACAAACCCTTACTAACAACAAAAAAAGAACATAAAAATTAGCTTTGGATAATAAACAAAATCACAGATGGAAGAACTTTGGAAGGTCAAGAATGCATATAAAAAGATATGTAGGAGTAGTAAATTTTCTTCTTCAGGTACTTGCTCCATTTACTAAAGTTTGACAATTAGTCTGGCAAATTCATGGATTTAGATTTAGATCTTCACCAATCCAATATCCCAAATATCTAAACTTCTGCATTAGTTGTCTCGTGTATTCTAATGTAGCTGGTTCGGATTTCGGCTTATTACAAGAGTTTTTGTCTTGTTTATGTTTATTTGCAGCCCTATCCGATTACTTTTATTACAATTATGACTGTGTCGTTTGCATATCGTCTGTTGTTGCTTATGCCATCGTGCGTTTTTCAAGGCCTAGGAGTATATATTAAACAACATTGGACTAAGTCTACACCCTGACTTAATAGATATTTAATATGCACTTTTTTTCGTTTCATGACTAGCGAGATTTACTGAAGCTATTTGGTGTTCGTACAAATTCTGTATGATCTTTATATCGTTCTTTTAAGTATTTCTAGCAGCTCTTTATGCTTGGAAATTCAAAAGCTTTGGTGTAATCGCTAAAACACATATACCTTTCGGTGGTCTCTGGTTTTTTGCAGTTAAGATCGACAATGCAAAAAACGCCTCACGGGTTCCTAGCCCTCCCCAAAAACCCAACTGTTTTGCCATTGACGTCTTGGTCGCATTCTTTTTATGCGGTTCGCATTACTTCTAGAAATAATTACAATATGTCACTCATGATTGGCGGAACTCGGCGCATTTTTTTAAGCTTTCTTCTATTCGACCATTAGCAGTAATATTTTATCGGCTATCCATGTTGCTGTTGATCGTTGTTTACGACCACTAGTGGTTCATGAGATTTTGAGTTGCTCCCAAATGTCTTGCATTTTCTTCACGTTTTCTCTGTGCATTTTGTAGATTTTGTGAGTGCAAAACTTTACTCTATCCTCCATTTATCTCATAGGAAGTTTAAATCTGGCATTCTGAAGATTTTTTTCATTTTTTTAGTCGCAGTCTGATCTTGGCGATAACTGGATTATGGTCCGAACCAACATCTGACAGTGGGTATGTTTATTAAACACAGTTTCTTTATATCTTGGGCTAATATGAAATCAATTTGGTTTCTGAATTCGGGTGTGTCTCTTGGTGACTTCAAGTGATAAAATCGTCCGGGTAGTAATTTGAACCAGGTGTTAGAAGCAAACAATTTCTCCTCCTGACAAAGAACTAGCGAACGTTTGGCCAATCATCCTGCTGCCTTCTTCAGAGCTTGACTGAAACTGACTCGCATTTGACTCTGTACCTGGTTTTATATTGTTTGAGGGGGGCAGAGCTAAATGAGTGGCATAAACACCATCTCGGATTACTGATGCAAATATTGACAGGTAGAGCCCTGAGTCGCGGTTATGATTGTTAGGCTGCTTATAGATTTCTATAGACTCTCGGATTTTTGGTTGGTAGAAGAATTGATTACATGCAAGAATTTTAGTTTTATCGAATAAAATTTTATGTCCTGTTTCGTGATTGTGTTCGGCAACTACTGATGAGTTTATTTATCGTAATCTTCAGACTCTTTCACGTTTTAAACCTAGCCTGATATTTTTCGTCCGGTCTCTCCAATGTGTTCTTTGCCGCATATGCATGGAATGCTGTAAACTCTTGGCATCTCAAATGGAATTTTCTATTTGACGGATCGAAGATGTTGAGAGATTTTTGGACAAGTGGTAAATCTGGAACTTTTGATATGTGGTCAGTGATATTTTGAATATAAGGAAGGACAGCAGTGGCTACTGTGGGATTGCTTTCGTTTTCATTGCTATTGGAAGGTTTGTGGTGAAGTGTATTTTGTGATGGAACGCTTAATATCTTTAATGTGGAAATTATTACAGAGAAGAGCAGAGGTAAGGTGTTTTAATACTGGGTTCCATGACTCGGACTGAGATAGTTTTACTGATCTGTAAAAAAGAGAGTTGATAACCGATGATTTTGGGTCGGATGGTGATGTGACAATGCATTAAGGTATCGTTCTATGTGCGCAGGTTTTCTGTAAACACAATGACCTAATGTTAGGTCTGATTTTCTACTGATAAGGATACCTAAGAATGGGAGGTTGTTATTAGTTTTTTTTTAATGGAAAAACGTATCTTAGGGAGTGCCAGAATTAGGCTTACTTCATCATGTTTTGTATATTGGTAGTGTAGTATAGTATATAATATAGTATAGTATAGTAGTAGTTGCTTTATTTCTGACTAAAATATTTGAATTTCTCTTTAAATTTTATCGTCGAATTTGAGAATCGACCAGCTCGTTAGTTTTCCGCCGTATAATAATACTGTGTCGCCGACCTTTGTCTTTCCACTGCTGGGCTATCTTGTCTCGCAAATACTCCAGATGTCCCTATCTAGTTTGTTCATTTCATGTTTTATATTATGCATTTTTTCCGGCGTGTACATCCTTTTAAAAGTCCAAGTGCCTGTAGTACAACAACACATAAGAATTAAAAATTAGACAAGCAAATGAGGAATGGATGAACAACAAATGCCATGAAGTTGAACAACTGGAGATAAAACATGACATATTTAATAAGCACAACGAAATGAAGGAGTCTTTCGTAACATCTAGGAAGAATACTTTGGATAATATCATTCACCAGCACTGGAAGTACCATAATGGATACTCAAGAAGAACTTAATTCCTATATTGAAATATTGCAGAACTATTTAAGCATATTAAAACCCCAATACGCAGAAGGGCTAGAGATTAACTAATCAGAATACAATATGTCATAAATTTTGTTAAAAATGGCAAAACTCGTGTACTAGATGATATTCCTCTGAAGTTGTTACATGGGTTAAAACTATTAACAAAAAACATTCATTGAAAATTGTGCAAGTGTATAGAAAATATGAGTGTCGTGCAGTTCGGTTTTCAGATTCGGGAACCTGTGAAGCACATTTTGTCATCCAAAGATAATTCCAGGATATCAGCGTCTTCAACTGCGATGTATACACGTGCTTCTTGACTTCCACAAAGGTAATTGACAAATGCTAAGATGAGAAAATGATAGAAGCGCTAAAAGATGGTGATAATCAGTGTTGGGTTCAAAAATCTTTAGTAAGAGTAGACATCGAAATATCAGATCAGATCGAGATTTCTCGTGGGGTAAGACAAGGCTGCGAGCCTAGAATTCGACTTAGTACTTAACCAAGAAAAGTCCAAAAACATGATGATTAGTAAATGACAGAGACGGTGGACCAGAAAAGAGAAGAATATCTTGGGATGAAGTCCCAACCATTCAACTGTTAGAAAAGTCTGTTTAGCCCTTATCTTGTCTCTAATATAATGGAACGGATAAACCAATTAAAAAATAAAGAATGAGGTAAGCCGAGTGCCACGAAAGTGTATTATTTATAGCCTCGCTATTTTCAAGGGACTGTCTCTTTTCAGGGGTCGAGAAGCATAGAATCTTCATGAGGAGTGCAAATTTTAGAACTACGGGAACCCGGCTTTCCTTTCAACGACCTTTCTTGCCCATAACGCTTTTTAATTTCCAGAACTATGCTCTTATTTCTGCCTTAAATTTATACTAGGACAGTAATTGACCATCCTTCTTCAATAGTGAAAATTTTGCCTTGTTAAAAGACAGAGAGGTTTTTAAGCCTCTTGCTACCAAGTTTAATTCGGGATATAATTTTGTAATTTTTTTGTTAATAATGGTTAAAGCAATAAAGCTCTTTATATGTCTCAATTATCTACCCATCTCTATAACAATTTTTATTCACCAACTTTCATTCACCAAACTCGTCTTTTTGGGAACGACTGGAGATGTGTAGGTCTAAAAAACTGAAGTACGGAATGTATCGGAGGCTATCATTATATTTTATCTGTACTTTGCGATATATCTTGTAAGGTGTCAACCCTGTCTAATGATTCCTGGCATTGTAAATTATTTTTTTAAGAAATGGATTATTGCTGCTATTTTGTGTGTTTTTTCTTTCAATACCTTTTTTTTGAATGCGTCGTCAATTATTATTTTGGATTGTTATTGAATAATTTCTTTATTTAATTGATTTTACGACGGAGTATAAGGTATAGATAGCTTCGCATTCAACCGTGTTAATTTCAATTCGACAAACACACATAGTGCGTAACGCGTTGGCAAATTACTTAATCACCAGTTTTTTTTTACCGCTGAACCGTAAAACAAAATCAATGAAATTCAACATCAAGGTAAATATCTAATTAATCATATGAAAAGGTTTGAATTTAATTTGGTTTAAGCGGGGCGGCAGGACAAATATAAATAAATTCATCTGTTTAATCAAGGCATAAACGGTAGTTTATTGCACCAGAGTAGATATTTGTGTCGACCGTCATTAAGGTTTGGAATTATGTTGAAACTGGTAAGTTAAAACCGTAATTTTAATATAAATACTAGATTTATTTAGGTATAAAAACGCAGAGAAATTCAATTAATCAGGTGAAACATTTTCAATGTTTTTAATTAATTAATTAATATAATTTAATTAATAAACAGCATAATTTTTTGTCTTAACCAATAAAAACTTAAGGTATAAACCATAAGTGATTTTCTAGCCTCCGTTTACTGTATTTTTTAAGGGCTTGTTAGCAATTCAGCTTAAGAGAACTTTTACAATATAATTTATTATTTTCAGCTCTAATTTTCCTAGCAGGTTTTCACCTGACCTCAAACATTTTTTTATTGAAAAGTTAATCTCTTAAAATAAAATAAACAGTCTACAGTAAAGTAAATATGCTACAGTGAGAAAATTAGTAAAAGATAGCTCAGGAGCCTCGTATGCAGTGCAAACATGGCAGTAAGCTAAACAGATCAAATTCGATGTATCTAAATCAATAATAAAATAATTTCAAGTCAGTATTTGATGATTAAGGTCTGTAAGTCAAAACTTGCTAGTGGTCCTGATCGTGTTCCTTCATTTTTCAATCCTTCATTGCCAGACTTCTGGAAGGATATTTTTAGAACACCGAGCGCATTTCAGGGTGATGTGCACTAGCAAAGTCCTTTACTCTCCAAGAGACTCTGTTGAATGCTTTTGCATATATTGTTCAGGTAGTTGATATTCATAGAATTTTCAAATGACAGACAGACACAGAAAAAAAAATCTTTTTCTTCTAAAGGACATTTGCTCATTTAATCCCATATGTGGTGGCTCTAAATATTTAAAGGGGGGTAATATTTGTCCAGTGTCGTAGGTTTTTAGGCCCGGAGTTGCGCCTTCTTCTTGGCACCTCTTTTTATTGATTTGACCTTCGATGATAAGACGGATCTATTCGTATTTTTGGATTTTCATAACGTCGCCAAAATTTATGTATTATATGAGGTGCATAAGCTCTGGTGTCTTGTTCGTCTTTCGCAGGATATTCTAAGCATTCTACGATAAGCATACGATATTATTAAACAGCACAAAAAATTAAAATTAACATTCCAATATCAGGCGATATCCAAATCCTAGGATTTGCAGAAATTTTCATTCGACAAATTTAAACGCATTTTGTATAAGACTTCAACCATTGAATTCAAACGTAAAACAATTTACATTGCATTAGAGCAAGTAAGTGAAGTTAAGGACCTGGCAATAATAATTGATACCAAAGTCTCTTTTGCGAATCATATAAATGTTCTTACTTGAAAAAATTACTGTGAATTGATTCGCTCATTGGTGTAGTCAGCAAGCCAGGTGTACGGTCTCCTTTTTATCGAGTGCACCGTGCGTTCAATTTATTTTGATAACATTTTAATTGGCTGCAACTTTTTTGTTTTTAAAGATCTTAAAGTAAAAAAAACAAAACAAAGTGTAGTGTTAGTAGCCAAATTTTTTTCTAAGTGACGTATAAAACAAAACACTATCAATTTTCTGACACATAAGCCTACATCATATATTTTTTTAATGGAACACCCTGTATATTATACATATGTTTAATAGAATATCTTATGCCGATTATAACACACTTTTAATCCACTCGTTTTTGAAAAATTTGCAAAAATAGGAAATTTTTATATAATTTCAAAAAGTGCCTTGCCTGACAATTAAGAATATTTTTATGTTTGACATATTGGTAAACACCGTTGATGGTAAAATAAACATCCGTGAAAGGAGTGATATTAACTATACTTTCTGAACAACCAAAGTGCAACCGCATCGCGTCGTCAGTATATTATACTTTATCCAGAGTACCGAGTTCCTTCAAAACAGATATTTCCAAGCCTGCAAACAAATTTGCAGAAAACGGTAACGTGTTAAACTCTAAAAGGCACATCCAGTTTCCTCTAATACTAGAGTATATTAAGAGACAGGTGTTTCTCAGAGAACAATCCACTCAGCTTTGAAAGAACATTAATATAATGCATTTAAATTTCTAACTAACCATTTCACTAACGAAAACTCGATAAACTAAATGAAGAACAACGTTAAAGTAGGTTGCAGTTTTGTTTAGATGTTTTAAATAGACATAATGAGAATAACAATTTTGGGAAAAACATTTTATGGACTGGTAAAAGTTCGTTCACTACAACAAAGGGTTGTAATAGACAAAATACGCTATATTGGTCTATAGATAATCCTAGACAAATACACGAAATAAAAACCCAGGGGTACCAATTAATGAATGTATGGTGTGGTGTCATAGATGGGCATATTTTGCCTCTGATATTTACAGATCAAAAGTTAACTGAAGATTATTATTTATTTGCAACACTTAGAGCACCAAATAGAACAACATAAATATATCAGCGCTAATTATATGGCAGTAAGAAATTTTCTTAACATGGAATATCCCAGGGGTTGGATAGGTCAGCCAACAGCCCTGACATAACTTTAATGAAGTATTTCTTTTGAGTATATGAGAAATGTGTTCAGGAAAATTGTGGTCACATACAGCAGTATTTAGAATGGTTAAAGATTTTTTTACTTTAGTGTGTCTTGTCATTTTTAGTGTTTTTGCTCTACTTCAATTTGTAAATAATTATTGTTGTTGCAGTCAGTCATGGCACTCTTTGAAATTATATAAAAAATTCCTATTTTTGACAATTTGTCAAAACGAGTGGACTAAAATATAAAGTGCGTTACATCATTGTAATCGGAATAGGATACGCTATTAAACACATATATAATATACAGCTTGCTCCATTAAAAAAAAAATATGTAGTCTTATATGTCAGAAAATTGATAGTGTTTTGTTTTATACGTCACTTGGAAGACTTGCCTACTAACCCTACCTTTTGTTTTTTTGTTTACTTTGATATCTCTAAAAACATAAAAGTTACAGCCAATTAAAATATTATCAAGATAAATTGAACGCACGGTACATTGGCAGCATTGGAAGTGTGCAAAAAATATTTTACGAATTGGGAATTAGTATTCCCAAAGTAAATTAACATACTAAAACCTCGGAGACTCCACTCAGATTCAATCACAGTTGAAATTAGCTGTGGTAATCTATTATCCCAAATATATTTTTTTATATCCACCACCACAAGATCAAAGTATATGTGCGTATGCAAAGAAAATTAAACGAGCTATATTCTTCATAAATATTGTGGTCACTAGTTGGGTTATTCTATCAATTAAATAATTTTTAAATTAATTAATTAAATAGTTTTAAATATACTGTAGAGAGAGAAATGTGGAGACATGAGAGGAAAATCATTAGCTGCTCTACCAAAATATCAGTGCCGTCTGCGTGACAACCTAATTTTTTGGAAATAATGCGCCGTCAAAAACGATTTTTGCTAAGTGAATAAAGTTAATAAAGTACGGAACTCAATACATCAATTTTCCGAGAGGTAAAGCAAGTGAATCCGTATTTTCGTTATAAAGGGTGTTGTGAAATCCAATTTTATTAATATTTCAAACCTTCTTTTGCCGATATTGTTGAAAATCTGGCGTTGTTATTTATATAAGTACCTCCTTTAGTCCCAGGTAGATTACCTTCTTTGATTATTTCTTAATTTATAAAATAACACGTGCTTGTGTGGTATTGGCTTAGAGCTTGAAATGATTTCGAACTCAGAAAGTAAATCAGATAGACCGACAAAAAAATAGGTGTTATAAATAGTGACAATTATAAGATAAATATTATCAGGAATGCAAAAGTGCAAGTTGTGCAAATTATTATGAAAAGTTATTCCTGCAAAATTGATTTCTGGAGATGAATAATGAATTATAAGTATTTTTTATTTTTCTAGTTGCCAGTGGCATAGTAATTGTTGTTCTCTTAGTTGCTACAAGAAATATTTAAGTGGTTTGAGTGCAAAGGAAAAACATGCTTCGGTCATTTTATTTTTGAAAACGAGGATCAATAAGATTTGCGCTTGCAAAGCTTGGTAGAAATACATACAATTTTAAGAAGGAGAATGACAGCAACCCTGTTGTCTCAGTTATTAGTAAACCGAAATCACTATCACACACAACTGTCAAATATTTTATATTTTTGACAGTTGATTTCGATCTGATATTTGAGTGTGTATAATTTAGGCATTCTAAATTTAAATATGATAAGCATTTTCCTCTATCTCGTAAGGATTTTTATCAACATTAAAAGAATTAGTCAATGAAAATATCGGTTGATTTTAACATTTTTTTTATTAGTACAAGAACAAAAACCGAAGGAAAAAATCCAAATTAAATAACAGAGTCTCAAACAATGGTTAATTTATTTTGTGGATTTTCTTGGCCGGATTGTCCCTTTTTGATATTTTATATTGGAACCTCTCACCTTGCTTCTCACTCACGGCACCAATATTTTCGGGAAGGTGGTCCAGATGTGAGTGTAAAAAGTGTAGTTTTATACTGGTTTTGAATCCCATTTCCCTAAATTTCTAGAACGTGTTTTCTACAACGTCTTTGTAATTTAGATATTTGTTGTTTCCTAAAAAACCTTTTATAACATCATTCGATCATCGTATTCACAAAGCCTTGATCTTCGGTAAATCTTGGGTGAGTCAATAAAAAGAATCCAGTCCTCAGAATTGTAATCTGTATCAAGTAATATAAAGTATTATTAGATTAGGAATATCGGTGCAATAAACAAGTGAAGCACTTTGTTCAAAATAGTCTAGATGCTAAAATTTCGGAAAGATTCTTAGGTACACCTAAGTCTCTCATTAGATCATTAAGTGCTGATTATCAAAATAACTCCGTATATCACCAACATCGCGTAGGGTATCTTTAACCATTTCACGTTCAGAAAAACTGGTGGTATCTTCTAAATTGACTGGATTCTCAGGTATTGAAACATCTGGGCAGTGTGGTACTGGCCTAATTGCAGGCTTGAGGTTGGGATAAACATTATTTTTCAAATTTTTAGTATTATAACCACGAACATTGCACATGCAGAATGCATCATGGTGATCGATTGGCTCATCGCCTGGTTCCATTATTAAAATTCGCTTCGCTGATATTCTGTAGAATTATTCTGAGAATTTATGTCAGTGGCGTAGTAATTTCAATTTTTAGAATATTATGTAATGTTCCTATTATTAAAATAATAAATATGACATCTCAAAAATGAATTCCAAAATGTTGCGTGATAAAAACAAAAAAAAAACACTGTTTTAGAAATTAAATTCCTATAACTCGAAAAATATGAAAAATAGCGAATTAGAAAATCTTTGTTAGCGTGTGTTATCTGTAAAAACAATGTTGGAAATGTTTCAACAAAGACATCGGAGTAATAACATTTCTTACAAATTTTTATAGTCCCATTTTTAAGAAAACTGTGATTTAAATATTGGTCGCTCGTGAAGGATATTTGTAGTACTTGTGGGAAGCTCAATGCAAAAATTAAAAGTGAGACTCTGAAAGAAAATGCTAGTAGGGTAGCAATCACTGACCTTATGGTTCGCAAGAGACGTAGCAAACTTTGTGAAGAGGACGATGATGTATTAGGAAATTGTACAGGATCTATATTATTTTCGCCAGCTGACCATTTGTAACTTTGGAATTCACAATTAAAAAACCAAAAATATGTCTTGCTACGAATGTCATCAAGTAGAGGTGGGTAAAAACGCGGATGAGGTTTGTTCCTTTTTTCAACATTACGTAGATGAGAAAGAGAATAAGAAGTATACAAGATTGTATATTTTTTGCGATAATTGCTGTGCGCAAAATAAAAACAATACAATGATTCGCTTTTCAATGAGTTTGGTTGAGCTGATTCAAAGATATACAAATATTACTTTACATTTGTACTGTGCAGGAATATATCGAACTAATTTAGAAGAAATAACGTATTGTATAAAAAAGCCTAAACCAAGAAAAAAAAGACCTACATATTGAACACAATAATAGTATATTATGCAACAAGTGCGGTAAACGGTATTTGACTCATGAGTTTATTTGACACGAGCGGAGCGAGTTTTTAATAAATGAGTGAGTTAAAAAGTTTACCGAGTGTGTTGCATATTATACTTTTTCTACGACCCTTCGTTTTTGGGTCTATTTTCGCAAAACAACAGGAATACATTCACTGGCATGACCGTCAGAATTGACAAACGTCTAAATATCTCTGAAAACATCCGATTGCTCCCAAATCCGTGCGGTAAAATCCCGGAAATGTCCGAAGTGGCTCGGATTCGTGGGAAACGAAACTGACGTGGTAAAATGACGCTTCCCGCGCGGTAGATCGGTGGGTAATTAGGTATTTTACAGACGGGAGTAGAAAAAAAACATGTCCGAAGATATTTTAGATACGACGTTAATTTGTTATTTTATATTTCTTAGTTAGTTTAGTCTTTGTGAAAAAAATGTGATTTCATTCGAGAGAGTCATAGTAAATGCTTGTGCTTTTATTTTAATGCAGAAAACGTCGGCTCCATCTGTCAATTTTGACAGCAAATCAATAAAAAAACAAACAAAATGAAAAAAGTTCTGCAAAAAAATTGAATTAAACTACAGTTCCTTTAAAAAGTTTATTTCGTTTTCTTAAGAATTTTTTAAATGTGACTGTTGCCTTTCTGCAGTTAGCAATTCATGTGTAGGAATATGTATAAATTATAACTTATAACATTATGTTTCATAATCATTGTCTTTTTAACTTGTAGGTGTGCATTGCTGCACTTGTTGTAACATGGTCTACTTCCGGCGTAGTATCCAAATCGTCTACTGCAATAGCACAAGGAGATAGCAGTAGTGATGCCCCATCTGTAAAGAGTGTACCATTACGTCCACCGTCTCACCATACGTCGCAGGATAGAAAGCGAGACGACATCAAAGTCGATACTACAAAATTAGATAAAGAAGAAAAGTCTAAAGCAAGGAAGGAAGACAAAAAATCGCCGAAAGAAGAAAAAGACAAGGATAGCCATCATCGTCTAGAGCATGATACTCATCGGGATTCGAAAAATGGACGGAAAATTCAGCACGGAGAAGAAAAGGGGAAGGAAGGGGAAAAAAGTGATCGAGCTGAGGAAGAACATGTAAAGGTTGCTCAGTCTAGAGCAAACGACAAGAGAACAAATAAAGAGGAAAAGAAAAATCGATCAAAATCAGAGAGAAGAGGTGAACATTAAACATAAATTTTTCGTTATTATATAATTATGTATATTTGTTTATAGAATTATTTATTTTTTCCGCGTATGTAATAATACCATAATTATACGTTGTTTTAGTATATTTAAATTTTGTTCTATTAGTATAACAAATGTACTGTATTTCCATAAATTGTTACATATTAACGCACTAGTTAGGTATTATTATGTAATGTATATGTTTTCATAAAGAAAAAGAACCAAACAAGTTGAATAGTATTTTTGATTATCCGGATCATAAAAATCAATTTTGCATTCAAAAATACACTCCAAACCACAAATAACGGGGGGTAAATCGGAGAGGGTGAGTATCATTGGGCATATACTGCTATAAAATGTATGGTATGGTACAATAATAATTACAATAATAATAATTGATAATAATATTAATGATAATAAAAACAATAGTAATAATATATAAATGTTTTATTTGCCAAACCAATGCACAATCATTTAAACGAAATACAAATTTGGTCATAAATATTGACAAAAAGGAGGATGAAAATGATTATTAAAAAAAAATTTAGTTCATCTTCCTGATAAAATTATGAAAAAATATATACAGGGTGTTTCACGGTTGATGGTGCCTTAGACCTTTACGGCGGTACATTCGATTGTTCTAAAAATTTTGTCCGCGATGCTCTTTCGATACAAAATATTTTTAATGCTGCGACGTTGCCGCTTCAACATTGAAATTATAAATGGGACACCATATATATTATTGCATTTTCGCGGATAAAATCCTATTCGCTTAGATTAGGACATTTTATGAGTTCCTTCCATTACCTAAATTAAAATATATCACAATACGTTATCCGCATTCTCAAATGTGCTTGGAAAAATAATACACAAACAAATTAAAGAAGAGGTGATGTTACCCTCAGCACTGACAACTCTGATCACTCGCAAACCAGTGATTAAAATACCCGAAAAGCCCGAAGTGTCTGACGACAATGTGATACTTTGCGCATTTCGAAATTTTAGCAGAAAGTCTTCGAGATATTTTACTATACTGTAACATCATTTTCGTGATGACCATGATTTCCTGGCTTGCCGACGTGATATTAAGTCGGAAAACGTCCCTTTTGAATAAAAATCGAATCCAAGTAACTGTATTAAAAAGGTTTTGTTTATCGAAAACCATACATGCCATTGCAGTGAGTCCCTGTATACTGTACTGCCATTGATTGATTGGATTTTAAGACCCTAAGATCTTTTAATAATAGATAGCGTTTCCTTCTATTTTACAAGGTTTATTCGGCATTGTGATTCTAATTTCCATAAAATAATTAATCCTTGTCGCACAGTAACAACCGCTTACCTTGTGCGAAATGTCAATCAATTTTTCTTACTAATCTTAAGAAGGTGATGTCTCAAGCGTGTCTATGGGAAGTCATGTTGCCAAATACAATTGTTTGTAACTTCCCATATGGCGGTCCCCCAAAACAAAGTTTGCCTATTGATTTGGACTCAATAAATATATCTAAGTACAGTGAAATCCATGCGAAGCTTTGTAAAAATGTATGTTAAGTTCAAAATTTGTTGTATTGTTACATAATTTTTTGTAGCAATGTGATGTATTGATGTAATGTAAATGTCTTAATGTTTATAATGAAAACAATCAGTCTTTCTACTGCTATGTAAATCAGTTTGCAAGTAGACTCTTATTTTCTGAAGTTTTGTGACGATAACTTAATTTTAGGGAATGAATGATTCGTTGATCTATGTGAACGTGTATTAGTAAATTAATATGATAAAAATTTAATTATTTTATTTATGAACAAATAGTATTAAGTAAATATAAAAATTAATTGCCAGTAAATAACTTTAGTACTAGCAACAGAAGTTTCGGCAAATTTTGGAATGTATCAGAAACAATAAGTTTAATATTAAACATTTGTCAACCACAAACATGGATTTTTCTTTGTGAATTAAATTTTTTAAATTTATTTTATAGTCAAAACGATAAGTTAATAACAAGTTCTATCGAATACGTTCCTATACTTAAACGAACTAGTTCTGCAGTTATGATGGAAAACAAATTCGGATTGCCGTAAATAAAGTTATATTAATATTATTTAATATAACAGAGGGCATCGAATTTTGAAATACCCTTGTAATATACTTCCCCTGTATAGTGGACCAAAGATTAGTAGCACATTATGCTTCCAAAAGAAGCCCTATTGTTCCAACGTTTCTAATAGCAATGGACCTGAAAATTTGTTTTTATTAATATTCCCGAAACAGGTCAAAAACTAGTTTGCAATTTTTGCTTTTTAGTAATTTTGGCATCCTGAATCTGATTAAATACATATGTGTAAAATTTTGGTCAGTGATATCACTTTTGAGAAATACAGGTGAAAAAAACGGCCTACAATAATTCTATTGTGGGTATTGACATTTAGACGTTTTCTTTTTAAATCGGAAGAAGCTCATTTCTACATAAGTTTTCTATCACTGTTTGGGCAGCTATCATAGTATCAGTTCCTTGCAAAAAACGGGGTTTCCCTAATTTTAACATTTTGGATATACAAACAATAAACAATGAACACCAAATGGCAAGAGTTTATTATGCATTAGTGCAGTCACGTTTGCAATATGTTATTTTGAGAGGAGCAAAAGTACTGGATATTTCCTGAAAATCGTCTTTTTAAAAATAGAAATTTCTCTAATGTACAGGGTGTCCCGTTTAAGAGGGTCCCATACCTTATCTCGAAACCTGGTTACAAAAAAAAATACAAAAGTTGTTTCTATTAAAATGGCTTTTTTTTATTTCCATAATCATCACTTTTTATATACAGGGTGGTAAAACAAAGTTACATTTTTTTAAATAGAACACCCTACATTTTATTGCTTTTTTGGATAGTCCTTCCAAAGATAAATTCAACGATATATATGAGTATGGGCCTTTGATGCACCGTTTCGAACTTATTAGCGATCATCTTCAGAATGCTTTTCTTTAGGCAATGATCAAATTTAAAATATTTTCTTAAAATACGCCGTGTTGCCACGCTTCGCAAAATGATTTTTCTTATATGAGACACCCTGTATATTAATGGATTTTCGAATAACCACTTTAATAGCAATTTCAATTTTATAACATAAATTAAATTGGCATATAAAATTAAAAACTTGGTATAAAAGCTCCTTATCAATTTGTTCACAACCGTTTTAGAGAATTGTTATGAAGTCATATTAAAACCAATATATCAATCTTTTCGCAATGTTGTCAAATTTCGCAAATTACCTCTTTCTTCGTTTAAGCGTCTACCTGAAATGATTACAAAAATTAACATTAACTACTAGTGTATATTACTTACAAGTAAAATATATTAAATTAGTTTTTTAATATGACCGCCGTTTTGAAGAAAACAAGTAGTATATGCTATTTCTAAATGGTATTTAAGACGTAATTCGTTTCATTCAGATAGTGTATTTGCTCGTCCAAAACTGCTGACGGCTTATCTTTGTAAACCTTATCTTTCAATGTGCCCAAAAAAAAAAGTCTATGGGGGTCAAATCTGGACTCCTCGCTGGCCAAGAGATGGTTCCGTTTTGTCCAATCCACTCTCTGAAATTTTCGTTAAAAAATCGAATGATTGCACACTTCACACATTTTTTATTTTCCAATAAAGCGTATTTTTTCTGTTAAATAACACCACAAAAGTTATTCAATTGATTCAACATTCTAATAGGTCAATTTTTTCCTCCTTCGTATACGTTATACAAAATAAACTCAACAAAAATGCAACTTAATAAAATAAATAGAAAATACGCTTAAAATATTATAATGCACTGATACCTATCAAAAAATCATTAATATTACCACAGCATGGAACTACTATTGTTTTCAAAGCTACTGTTGTAAAAATATGTCGACAAGGTCAAAAATTAATAATATCATCAATTTTGTGTATCTGCCTATCACCAGCAGGTTTCTACATATTTTTGAAAGATATTTGGTCTACATTATTAAGAAAATGATTATTTTTTTGAAGTGTTTCTCCTGTACTATGTTATATACTTGAAATGGCTATTAAAGTGTCTATTCGAAAACCCAGTAATATACAGTCTGTCTCCTTTAAAAAAAAACGAGGAAAGTATCGTTTTGATTTGATTTGATTTGATCATTGCCTAAATTATTTTAGTAAAAATAATAAATGGAAAAAAGTTTAATAAATTCGAAACGGTGCATCACAGATCCATACTCATATATGTCGTATTTTTCTTTTTTTCTTGTAGACGACTATCCAAAAATATAATAAAATTTGGGGTGTTCTATTTAAAAAAGCGTATCTTTGTTTTACCATCCTGTATATAAAAAAGTGACGATTAGGAAAACAAAAAACGGTCATTTTAATAGAAACAACTTTTGTATTTAATTTTTTTTGTAACGCCCGTAGGTTTCGAAATAAGGTATATGCCCCTCCTAAACGGGCCACCCTGTACAGCTGTTCAGGGAGTCGAAATGTTGTACGCTATTTCAATTATTATTTAAAACAACGGTTTTAAATATTTTAAAAAACAAAACTGAACTATAAACAGTAAGTCAATCTGACAATACAAAAAATAGAGGAAAGGAACATGTTACAGCAAATAAGATTAAAAAAGAAATAGTCCCAAGATCTTACACATTTTTACAGGTCCATTTTTATAATTTCCTAGATGAGGATTTATTGCAGAAATTCATATTCTTAACATCATTAGCGCTTTTAAAAATATCTCAAAAATTTATTGTGTTTGTAACATTTGAAGCAACAAATACCTGAAAGTAAACTAAATATTAGAAAAAAAAGTAAATAACAAAAAAAAGAGAGAGAATGCCAAAAATAAAAAGTCTAAGATTTACATGTAAGATTTGTTGACTTTCAAAGTCAATTAAACTGACCAAATTTTACAGTTATAATTTTTAAATAATATTCAGAAAGGCAAAATTACTAAAATATTAATATAAACCAATTTTCAGGCTCATTCCTTATAAAGCCTTAGAGGGCGTGTCTGGACATATGTTTATACGGAAAATTAGAGCTTATTTTGGAAGTAGAATATGCTGTTATAGTTTACTACAACACAAGGACTTTCTCATTTTTATTATGTCCGATACAGTTTTCGTAATGCAAGTGTATAAAAGTATAACACTGAGTTTGAGGTATTTTAAACGGACTTTTAGCTGCTACCATTAATATTGTGTTAGTGTAAAAGTTAAACTACATACTTGTTGGTATTTTGTGCGAAATTTGTGCGTTTTCTTAGATATAAGTTGTTGTTGTTATCACTTGCATAAGATTTATTGAAAAATTTGACTTAAATCCAACGCAGAATTATAGGTTTTCTTAAGGTACAAAATTCTAAAAACTCGATTTTGCCATTGCCTTAGTGGCGAATTTCGTTTATTTTTTGTATTACATTTATTCTTTTCTTCCATTTATTTACCTTTATAAAGCAATATCTATTTCTGCATATGGTTTTAATATCTTGTTACAGTCGGCACTACGGTTATTCCCAATGGGCTATTTGGTAAGAAATAAGCCATTAATTGTTAAATTTAACCCTTTAAAAAAGATGTACCAGGAAAGTATCAACTCTTAATAAAGACATAATCGAGAAAATGAAATGATTGAAAAATTTACTCGTGAATTAATTTTTACTGGGTGTTGAACAGAAATCTTCAATTGGAAGACTCCATTCCAAGTTATATTAATCTATCAACCATTGCGATTGTGAGGCGTGAAGTGTGGAAAATGTTCTTGATACACCACAATAAAATATACTGTTTATAACAAATATCGCCGTTTTTCAGTTGAGGCCTAAAAAATACATTTTTATACGGTCATGGACAGCTAAGGCCCCTTGGTATTAAGGGTTTTATGTCAAATTTGGCCCCAAAATAAAAAATAACGTTAGTAAAGGAGCTTATTTTAAAGTTACTCGGCTATGTAGAAGTTTTTAAAGAAAATTCATTATTCATTTTGTTTGACTCGCTATAATTCCGTAATTTTGATTTTTCGAAAGGTATCATTTTCAGACGTCCTGTATAAAAAATTTGAAGTTTTTGGTTTGGTGGTGCGACGGTCGTGTCATGCGTGAACAGGAAAACGATTTTCCACGAGAATTATTCGGGGTAGCTTTATCATAAACAGCTAAACCCACCGAGATATTGCTTAATGGTCCCATGACTCTTGACCCGCTAACATGCACCACCACTGACCGTAACCTCAATACTTCCAACTGGAGATTGTTTATGGCTTTCCCTGGTGTGATAAATCTGCGAAACATTGAATTTGCGTCTGCGAAGACAAGGTTAAGGCAAGCGAGATGGATTTGACCATACAGACAACGGCAGACAATGTCGAACTTCGATAAAACATTACCGTAGTGTTAGAGGCTTCAAAGGTAGAAATTAAAATATATACAAATTTAGTGTTATATTTAGAAATAACAATAATGCTTAATAATGCAGTAGACAACAATTATAAATTAAAAATAAATGAATGAATGAAAATTCTAACTGGGATGTTTTTTAAAAGCACATAAATCTTGATCGAGGAAATAATAAAAATCGGTCTATAAAAATGGGAAAAATCTTTGTCCTACTTCACACAATAACGCGTTTTACCACAAACCGAAACTCAATTTTACGTACTCGACGCGCGTTTCGCCAACCAAGTCGGCATCTTCAGGAGAAGATTAAAACTGTCCTATTGTCCTATTTGTTTTTTACACCTATTTGTTATAACATTTCTCTCTTCTCTATTATAATGTTTTATATTTAACAGAGAGAAATTTCCAGTTTTTAAACAGACGACTTTTAGGAAATATCCAGTACTTTTTCCCATCTCAAAATACCACATTGTAAATGTGACGTCGTTAATACATAATAAAGTGTTAACATAAGCATTTTATTTTATCTTTCGACTTTATTGAATAGTGTTTATTTTTTACATATCTAAAGTGTTTGGTAAACTCCGTTTATTGCACGAAAATGGCATAAAAACCGTTTTTTTCAATCAAGTGTACAGAAATAATGTATATCAGAATAAAAAAAGAGTTTAAAAGGCTAATTTATCTATTTACTGCTATGCTTTTAATATCTAAGAATTTCAGTTAAAATGCTTATACCCTTCAAAGGTAACATTAGAATAATTGTCTAATTCTTAAATATTTCGAACCTATTTTAACAACTATTTTTATTGTAAAATCAGATTCATTTCAAAATATTAGATTTTTTTCGTTAGTTGGTTAGAAAAACAATATTTTTGGAAATTGACCTACTTTTTATCCTGCATCCAATTATGATGATAATTATGATAAAAGCCATGTGTGTAGCAAGTAATTTTTAATTTATAGTTATCAACAAACAATTTAGTTTTCCTTTATTTAAAACAATATGACTAGTCATTTTACAAAATCAGAATAAGTAGATATTAATTACAATTACAATAAACTTAAAATAGTGTATCAGCAAGGGTATCCTAATGGAATTTCATACAGTTCGCTTTACTTTAAGTGGCTAGTGCAACATTTTTAAAATCTTCATTTATTGTCGGTGGAAACACAAATAAATAAATGTTTAATATTTCCACCAGTCAAGTTAAAGAGAAAATTAGGGTGAACAGGAAAAATGCAAGGAAAATATTAAAGAAAAGTTTAGAGGTACCAGACTCAACCAACACTTTAGTGTGATAGTAAATTTTTGAACGGCTGTATTAAAATTAATAATGTACAGTTCGTTCTATTTAAAATAACAAAGCTCAAAATATCAAACTATCAACTTAGCACATTATATATTTTTATCTAAAGCCATTTCGAAATTCCGCCGTGCACAGTAGTTTTCGTTGCCACCCGGTATAGTTAATTTATCACAGAAATATATTTTCTAACATTGAAGGAAACTTGATCACTTTTTTAATATAAAAAAATGAGCTACACCTTTAATTAGTGTATTAAGCTTAAAATATGGTTCGCCAAAGCCCTCATTTTCTTGTTTATGGCTTACTTATTAACTAATATATTAAATAAGTCTTCCGAAAAAAATAAGAGTTTTGTCATGTTTCTTGCAATTGTTCCAATGTTCTGTTGTTGGAATAACTCATCGGATGCCGAGAGGTTCTTCAGGTTGAAAAATCTTCCAGGTTGATCCTTTTGGAATGCGGAAATGAAATTTTTAAAAACTTGAAACTTGAAAATATTGAATCTACCTTCCTATTTCACTCACTAGAACCTTCTTAAAGTCCATATTGGTTTGAGAAGTTTACCCAAGCACTGCAACCACACACGCTAGTAATACTTTACTTTAGTCTAGACTCGCTGCTACTCAAATTGAAAAATTAAACTTATGTAGTAATTAACAACTATAACCGTCTGTTTAAAGTTAATCTCTCCAGCTAGGAATTTTATTCAATTGATTTTCCATAATCCTATGATGTACTGTACATTTTTTGACTGCATCGAGTATTCTTATGTTTACGATATCCACCTACCAATTTAAAATTAAGATATTTGATTAACAGAAAATAATACTGTATCAATCAATCAAGCGAATATCAAAAAATGTCCTGTTTGCCTCTAAACTCTCTTCCGTTTAAAGAAACACGTCGAACACCTTTATATCAAGACCACCAAATATGCATGCCCTGATAATAAATATAAATATCAATAAAAATATATAATAATCGAAGCTGAATCAATTAAGTGTCGAGTTATAACCATGGACCGCCGTTTAAAATTTGATATTTAAACTAATGAAGTGACTTGAAAAATTCGTAGCTTATTATCCAAATCGTGACTTTTAAATTAATAACAATTGCACAAAAATATTTTCAAAATTATGACCCAATGGCTCACAATATCTTATCTAACAGCTTGAAACCAAAAATTAAATAAAAAATAAACAAATAGATTTGGCAAGAGCCTTGCATACTAAAAACGATTTAAACATCCACTTATTTTTCTAATTTATAAGAAAAGGTCTTTGATTAAAAAAAAACGCATGTTTCAATTTATATCGATTATGATCTTCTTGTAGATTAAAAAAAACGTTCAAATATTCCAACCACAGAGAAAACTATAAAAATATTAACGGAGAAGACTTTTATTAAACTGTTAGGACTGTAAAATGTTAAGAACAACAATTTTTTGTTTATTTAAAATAATTTTAAATTTCTTTTTGTAAAATTTTACTTACTTATTTTAAACTAGAAAATAAAAACATATTTATTTATAATTATAATTGAAAGAGAATATATTTTTTCCTGGATCCAAAAATAATCTAATTAAACACAAAATTTCTCGTAAAAAATATGACAATCTAATTACAATTATTGTTTTTTTAAAACAATAAATCTAATTAATCCATATTTCTACATGGCGGATCGGACGGTGCGCGCCACTGGCGAAACTCTCTCGTGCAGGGGGTGCATCACTTGTTGCACCGTATTTAAGCTGACCGTTGTCCGATCGACGTTGTAGATTCAATCGATCTGCTGTAACTTGTGAAGTAAACGTTTCAATTAACGGAACACACGATGATCAAATTGGTGAGTTACTGAAAACAAAATTTCCATTTGTTTTGCGAGATTTAATTTTAAGCATTTTCGTTTAGCGGCCAAAATGTGGGGTTTGTATTTTTAGTAGTCAAATTTTTGGGGTAAGAGCTCCGAAAAAATCTGATACGCAATTAGGTGGTAGTGTAGTTCTTCACAATGTCGCTCTCAGATAGTTGCTTAATTAATTTTCTTGCAAGCAAATCAATGTATACGAATGCCATGAAGTCGTTTTCTAACAATTTTGTATATTTTTTCAAATAATTTGGATATTTGGAGCTTTTTCGCAACTATTAATTTTAAACATTTTTCACATTTTTTCACAATATAGGTCTTAGATGCGGTTCCTGTGATTTTCTCTATTATTTGGAGCATTATTGCATCTATAGGACAAATTTTAATTAATATTGGAATTAGAACAATTCTCTTAAATGTTTTGAAGGTTTGGCAATACTGCGTCACTATCTTCATTTTTATATTTTATACAATTTAAATTGTTCTATTTTTGGATTCTATGAACAATTCTGAAACTCGGTCTAACTATGTTCTCTTCCGGTATTTTGGAGGCACCATTTTTTTTTAATTTTGCGGAAAACATTGACTATCAAAATAATCTATCTGCTATTTTCAGTAGTACATGATTTCGTTTATTTATTATTTTCTATTATTACTACCCTCTGTCTTCTTTCCGAGAGAAATTATCTCTAGTATTTTAACAATCTGTGATATTTACTTTGAAAAAGCAAATAATAGTACAACTTTTAGACTGAGTTGTTTTATTTGATATTTGAAACATTCCCCTTTAAGTATAAACAGTAAAAAGTGGAATTTATAAACTCACTTTTTTATTTATATGGTAATATTTGGCAAGTAGAGACTAATCAAAATTTATCTAACGATTTAACATTTGATCTTCTGGAATTAATTAAAAAACAATTTATTTCCATTTCAACTTCAGTCGAAAAAAACTAAGTGCATATATATTCACATAGGATAAAATAAAAATAGCTTGGAGACTATTGAGACGCTACGTTGATGAAACTTTTGTTATCTGCTTATCTGCTCTTCTCTCAAATAATATCGACATCAGAGATATTAAGCGTTCCATTACAAAATATAGTTCACCACACCGCATGAGTCTGACAGGAACCCGACACTTGTCACTGTGGCCATTTCTTAAATTCAAAACATTACCAATCACATATCAAAGGATCTTAAAAAATATAATGTTAAAACTAGATTTACCACTTTTCCAAACATCTCTCAACATTTTCGATTCATCAAAAACCAAATTCCGTCTGTAACACCAAAAACAAGATAGCTTTCGAAAAATCCTCGCTGGGCGGGGCAAGTTTGTAGCGCGTTGCGCGAAGTAGCTTTGTATTTCAAAACGAAGCAGCTTCGGGGTTGTTATGCTAGAGGGGCGCAATGTTTTTCTGTCGTGCTCCTGCGGTCCACTATGGAACTTTCGCAAAATCGATGTAATTATATTGTGTATACACCCTGTTTTGCAAAGTCACGGCAAAATTTGATAAGTATAAAAATTTGAATAAATGATAGCGATTTCCAATGATATTTGTTCAAGTATCTCGCGCACCCTGTATGATAGATGAAACCTGAAATTCTCTCTCAATACAATTTACGGCTAATAATTTATACACGAAAACCGCAATTTTAACGGGCCTTTTTGAATTTCTTCCCATAATCGACGCACCCTGTAGATAATTGACAAAATTTCTGAAACAGAATTTGTAGCTCTGGATCTCCCACGTTTTCTGTTCCAAGAAAATTTCCAATAGAGTCGATGATTTTCGGGAAAATAATCTTTTTCTGAAACTATGCAGTACGCCTTAATAGTTAATGAAGTGATGGCGTCTAGAGTGGGCCGGAGGAATGGTGATTTTCATATGGATTTTTTCAAATATCTCGAGCAGCGTATGTGATAGATGAAAACCGCAATTGCAAAAATTGTAGATCTCCATGGAGTCTATAATATTGTATAAGTCAATTAACTATATTTTTTACGAATTTTTATTTACTTTGAAAAGGTCTTTTGGATTTTTGTCCATAATTGAAAAACCTTGTATATAATCGAAAAAATGCTTAAAATAAAAAATGTTATAGAATAAAAAATGTTATAGAACTGGATCTTTCCCGTCTTTGTGGGTAAATAATTTTGCCGATGGGTTAATAGTTTTCGAGAAAACGATTTTTTTGTGGAAACAACCCAACAAAAATAACAAAAAAAAAAAATCTAAAATTTTTCAAAAATATATAGCCATACTTGATGGCGCCGAGTTTCAGCAATTTAAATGTGGGTCTGGACTTATACCTCCTAGCGAAGTTGAAGTGGAAATTCTTAATATAGCACAAAATATCTTGAACACCATGTAAAATAGATGAAAACCTTAAATACAAAAATTTTAACTATCCGCATACGACCATGTAAAAGAAACTGACAACTAAAGCCCCCTAGTTATAGTCAATTACTATTTCTGAAAATTGTGAAGAATAAAAGTTTACAGGCTTTGATCTCGCGGATCTTCTCGTTCACATTTTTTTTAGATCTCATAAACGGTTTTCGAGAATTATTTTTTTTCTTGGACCCCTGCAAACGCGATTTGTAATTTTTTTAAAATACCTCCAAGGGAACCTATTTCCTTTCAAAATTTGATGTCGATAGCTTCAACTTTCCCACGAGTTCGGATCGAAGTTGTTTTTTTTTCGAAACTGATCTGTACCAATGGGGCCCCCTAGGACTAACCGTTGCCGAGATATAAGTTTCGTTGTCAAGCGCGTATGCTTTCGAAAAATTAGACTTCATATGCAGCAAATAATACAAAAAATAATACATAATGCAACTAGGTTAAAAGAATATGTCAGAGCTTTAGGAATCAAGCAGTTACCGAACATATTCATGAGTTCGGGCATCAAATCTTACTTGACCAACCTAAAATTCTCGCACGCTTTCATTTCTTACATCAAAGAAGAAACCTAGAATCAACCAGCCCTAAGCAGGTAAAAAAAATAAGCAAATGATTATAGGTACGACAAGTGTTCACAGTGGAAAATTTATCAACGGATTTTCTTAGCAAAAATTAATTCTTTACTGTCTACATAGATTAGTTTTAACATTCAATATAGAGTTAGAATGCCAGGACACTTTGGTATCAAGATATTTCGGTTTGCCAAATAAACCTATGTTGTAAAATTGAAACTTACTGTTACGTTCAAAATTTTAAAAATATAGGTACAAAAATTCGCATGGGGGGTTGTCAGGGATGAGAAATTAGATTGTGTAATCAGTAGCACACACTTATTTGAAAATTGGCATCATAATTTATTGTTATATTTTCAAATTGGATTTCCTAACGTAATTTATTATTAAGAATATTACATTTAAATGAACTCATTAATAGTTTTCTATTACTATTGATATTAAAAAACATCATAGGGAACATTTTGTTACATTTAATTGTAATGAAATAAAACTCAATTTAGTTAACTAAGTTAATAATTATTACAAAAAACAAAAATTTAAAAACGGTAGTTCTACGTGACCACCTTGCGAAACATTTTGTAATTCGTTAAACAATTGTCTTATTTTCAAAAACAAGTTTTTGATTCGGGAGTCAGTTATTGGATCTACCAAAAGCTAAAAACTAAAATCTATTGGATTAAAATCCGGACTAGGTTTCGGTCATTCAAGAAGCGGACCTCTACCAACCCATATACCAATACCAATAGCGAAAGTTTAAATTAAGATAACTTAATGGAGGCAGTGCTCCGTCAAACAAAAGTGTCAAGTAATTTCTTATTTATTATGCCCGCCCACACGTTTATCTTGAATTAGTGCTGCAAATGTCTTTCCAATATTAAATAAGGATATTCTAATTTCTGCGAATGTCTGTTATCAACATTAAAAATACGTGTACGATTAAAATATCCTCGTTACTAAATAATATGTTGTTAATAACACTAGTATCTTCATTTTGCTGGTTTCGAAGAAAGGTAGAAAAATTTATCTTTGCTTGTAGCTGAGGAGGCCGCAAATCCTAGACTGGTGTAAAATAATAGGGACTTTTTAGAACTTATTCTAGTAGCAGCATTTAACCGACGAATACTTGTTGGTGGGTCATCAGCTACATGGGCTAGGATTTCTTTTTCCTAATCTAGTGCGATACTTTCGAACGTCCTCCATTGTGCTTCTTTTGATGAAAAGATGCTGATGCTCTCCAAATGGTCATAAATGTTACGTCTGGATGGTACTGGTGAGGGAAGATATCTACATACCGACGAAGTGCAGCACTACCATGGGACATAAACACAAATCATATCTCTCATTTCTCGATTTGAAAACCTATTATGCTAGGGTATTTGTATCAGCAATTACGGAACGAAATATAAACACCAGCAATAATTTTCAAATACCACATAACTGACAAAATTATAACGTATTATGGCTCTTGTGGTTTCAATTGTTTACTGAATCAGAGCCTACTTTAATTTTATAAAACATTTACTGAGAACCAAACCCTATTTTGATTTTATAAGATAGAAAACTAACTAGAACTAAAATAGCATATTTAGTAGTATGCTTCTTTTTGAAATAAAAATATCTGGTAACAAATAAATAATTTCCAACAATTGTAATACATTGCTAGGGAAAAATGTAAATATCTTGATAGCGGCTTAAAATTATGAATCACTAATAACTTTATTACTTAACTTATTACTCCGTCTTTGAAATTAAATTTAGGAGTATACAAAAAAAAATATCGGTATTTTTGCAAAAAAATGTGTGCAGGTGTCGCCATCTTCAAGTTATCACAAAACTGATTGCACAATTTAATTTCACATCCCGGAAGACCTCCGCATGCGAATTTTTGTGTCTTTATTTTAAAAAAAGTGAACGCTAGTTATAAAAAACCAGAAATAGTATGCAACAAGTGCGGCAAACGGCATTTGAAGCAGCGATTCGAGTGTTTAAAAACGAGTGACTTATCAAGTTTACCGAACGTGTTGCATACTATACTTTTTCTACGACCGTTAGTTTTTGGATACATTTTCCCAAAACAACACAAATACATTCACTGATATAGCCATCAGAATTGAGAAACGTCACAATTCAAGGCGTGGGAAATATCTCCGAAAAAATCCGATTGCTCCTAAACTCGTGAGGTAAAATCCCGGAAATGTCCGATGTGGTAAAGTGACGCTTCGCACACGCTAAATTGGTGTATAATTTGGCATTTTACAGACGAGAGTAGAAAGTAGTATATTATGCAACAAGTGAGGTAAACGGCATTTGACTTACGAGTTTATTTGACACGAGCGGAGCGCAGCGGAGCGAGTTTTTATTAACCAAGTGAGTTAAAAAGTTTACCGAACGTGTTGCAAAATATACTTTTTCTACGACCGTTAGTTTTTGGGTACATTTTCGCAAAACAACACGAATACATTCACTGATACGACTGCCACAATTGACAAACGTCAAAATTCAAAGCGTGGGAAATATCTCCGAAAATATCCGATTGCTCCCAAATCCGTGCGGTATAATCCCGGAAATGTCCGAAGTGGCTCGCATTCATGGGAAACGAAACTGACGTAGTAAAGTGAGGCTTCCCGCACGCTAGGTCGGTGGGTAATTAGGTATTTTACAGACGGGAGTAGAAAAATACAATTACTATACACCTGCATCTTCATAAGTATTCATTTTAAGACATAGGTTTAATTGACAAATATAAATATTTTCTTACAATACATATGTTAAAATTCACCCCCTTCGACAATAATTTCAATTAGTTGGATAGCGTTACTCCACTCACTTAAAGGTGAACCGAGGTGCGTAATAGAAGAAAATATTTAAGTTTCTGTTCTGCCCGACTCTAAAATTCCCAATTCTAATAATCCGAAATCGAAACATTATTTGATTTGAAGTTGTTGGTAAGTTCAAAAGTGGGGAGTATTATCCGACGGTTGGTTGTTCACATAAATAGGAACACAAAGATTTTGTTAAAAAAAGATAAGTGAAAACTGACGAAGAACGGTGAGGAATACATGAGCAAGTAATAACTGTAAGCCGTGTTGTAAAAAAGATGGCACTAATATGGAAATATGAACATATGGGAGAGGACAGCTGCATGTACATTTACTTACAATAATAAAAAGAATCTAAGAAGAAACAGAAAGGAAAAAGTGCCAAGAGAATGGCAAATTGTGGCAATACTTAAAAAAAAAAGATCAACTATATTGGAAGAATTGCATAGGAATAACACTTCGAAATACAGCTTACAAAGTTTTACCCACACTCAAAGTGGTAACATTTGATCCAATTAAACGAGAACAACTTTTAAGAGCACTATAATTTCAAAATTGATAAGATTGAGTACCACGACTATGAAAAAAACAGTAGAACAGAACGGAGAGAAACAGAGGATTTTGATACCAATAAATGTCTCAGAGAAGGATATTCATTGTCAATAATTTATGTTATTATTTATTATTATATTATTATTTTATGCAGCATACGCTAAGAAACATAGATAATGGAATGATTATCCTATTCAGACGAATCGTTCAAACTACAAAGAGAATTGAAATAATGGAGAATATGTTCAAGAAAATAACTATCTGTGGAGGAAGAACTGATTATAGTGTGGTCAAAATAGGATATAAGAACGTTGAAGCAGTAAACAAATTTAAATCCTAGGAGTAATAATAACTAGTGAATGATAAAGAGATACTGAATTGAAAAAAAAACTAGTGTCGGCCAACAGAGCCTTTTATGCCATTAACGACCTGCCAAAAAATAAGATTTTATCAAAAAACTACGACAGGAGAAGTTCTTGAGAGAAAAACCAATAACAAGGTACTGCTGAATGACAGGTATATAGTAAGGAGAATAAAATAAATTCGAGAGGTTGGAGCATTTGTGCAAAGCAGGAGAGACGACAACGATATGCCAACAATGGAGAAACATCGCCAGAAAAGTATGAAACAGAAATAGTGGACATTTGGTTTCAGCAAAACAGAATTACGGCACACACAGCGCGTTTAGGACATGTGATATCCTACCCTTGGACTTTGGAGATTATGTTATATCAAAAGCCTTCGTTGTTAAACCAGTTCCGAATATTCGAAAATTGGAACCTCGGTATAGACCACGACCAACATTTAAATTATTTACAAAAAATTAATAACAAAGATTGTTCCTTATGTCATAATAAAGATTCTGCAATACAATTCCATTTTATGTGTTTCAATTAGAATTAAAAAACACGTCTTAATGAATCACAAAATACAAAATATTTTGTTTTATTTTTTAGGTAATATTCGCTAGCATTGTTGCTTATGCAGCTTCTGCTCCGGGCTTAGCGGAAGTGCCCATAGTACATGGAGCAGTATCCAGTCATAGCACCGTAATCCACCATCCATCGCCTGTTGTTAAGGCTGTGCCCGTAGTACACGCTGCTCCTGTTATAAAAGCTGTTCCTGTGGTTCACGCTGCGCCGATTGTAAAAGCAGTACCCGTAGTTCACGCAGCACCTATCGTCAAAACAGTTCCCGTGGTTCACGCAGCTCCGGTAGTTCACGCAGCTCCCGTAATACCGGTTGTTAAAACCGCCACCATAATCCATTAGCGCGTTGCTTTATTTATATTTCTATGATGAGTTAGTTATCAACTGTGAGTCAACTGTTTGCTCTTTGTATTTATTTTGAATAAATTATTTATTTTGAAATGGTGGTGTATCTATCCATTTTTGAAGTGGGGAAAGTGTATATTAAATATTAACATAAAGCTGGGAAGTACGACGAAAACTTTCCGTTTTTTACTATTACTTGGTTAAGTGGATATACAAAGAGTTCAAATAGTAAAGGGTTTAAATTAAAATTGATAAAAGATGTTGGCTACATCTCCAACAGTCGTAAACTAAAGATAGCTAAAATGCACGTCATTTTAAAACAGAGATAAATTCTAACCTTTTTTGTAAATAACTTTATGTTCTATATCTTTACGGGAAGTGGTAGGGGTTGTAAGAACAATTTTGTAAAATTTACTTCCAAATTAGACGTCGGTCACGTCATAGAAGAGCAGTTATATTGCAATACTCTTTTTATCTATCTAATGTGTGTTTATTTTCGATGTATAGAACTTTAAGTTGGCATTACTGTTCAAGATGGGGACCGATTTAACAGTGATTTATTCTCAGTTTAGTTTGGCAATTCATCATGAATAGACTCACGCCTGAACAACGCTTGCAAATAGTGCAATTTTATTTCGAAAATAATGGTTCTGTGCGGAATACGTATCGCGCAATACGTCCATTTTATCGTCGACAAAATCGTCCATCAGAGCAGTTAATTTAATTAACCATGGAACGTTTTCGCACCACGTTTACTCTTATTGATAACTCGCATCCCCAGAGACGCCGTAAGACCCGAATGAGTCCATCCGCCATCGAGCACAGGAATTGGATCTGTGTCCATCCACTTTATGGACGATTTCGCCGAAGGATCTTGGTTTACGTGCTTACAAAATCCAACTCGTACAAGAATTGAAGCCAACCGATCATTAAGTAAGGCGTGGATTCGTCGAATGGGCCCAAAACGAGATTGCCGTTGTTCCCGATTTTCATAAGCGAATTTTGTTTAACGATGAAGCGCACTTCTGGTTGAATGGCTAAGTCAACAAACAAAACTGCCGCATTTGGAGCGAAGCTAATCCTCAAGTGTATGTCGAAACACCGTTACATCCAGAAAAACTGACTGTTTGGTGCGCTTTATGGACTGGTGGAATCATTTGTCCGTACTTCTGCAAAACCGATGATGGCCAGAACAGTCAATGGTGATCGGTATAGAGCTATGATTACTAACTCTTTTATTCCTGAATTGAATAGCAATGATGTCCAGGAGATGTGGTTTCAACAAGATGGCGCAACATGTCACACAGCTCGTGCCACAATCGATTTATTGAAAGACACGTTTGGTGACCGCCTAATTTCACGTATTGGACCTGTGAATTGGACTCCAAGATCTTGCGATTTAACACCGCTAGACTACTTTATGTGGGGCTATGTAAAGTCATTGGTCTATGCGGATAAGCCACAAACGCTTGACCATTTGGAAGACAACATTCGCCGTGTTATTGCCGATATACGGCCACAAATGTTGGAAAAAGTCATCGAAAATTGGACGTCCAGATTGGACTACATCCGCGCCAGCCGTGACGGTCATATGCCAGAAATCATATTTAAAATGTAATGCCACAAGATTATCTTTCGGATAAATAAAATTCATGTCAATCGAATAATCCATCGTTGTTTTATTGCAACTTAAAGTTCTATGCATCGAAAAAAAAACACCTCTTATATATCTATCTCTCTATCTATCTATCATAAAAGTAATTCTCTTCAGTAGTGTTTTATTGAGTTATTGGTATTCGTTCGTGTTATAGCACATTCCACACTCCTTTACGACTGCTACTACGGTACAGTACGGTACTTTTTGAAGCCACCTTTTGTGATCAACATATTTCTGGCGCAACTTTTTTTCTCGCCAAGCAGGACTTTTTAAGAAGAGGCACTTTTTTTCGTAAAGCTAATTCTGACTTTCTATCGCATCGAAGCACTCCAGAATTAAAAAAAAAAAAAGATATATCTAATAGGTATATAGCAATAACCACTGTTTTTTCTTTTCAATTAGAATTCTTATGTTCTGTCAATAGGTAAGTGCCGTTGGATTTTTTTTTTTGGAAATGTGTTGGAAAAAGTTTCATTGGTTTTATAGCTACTATAAATACTTTTTTCCACTTTTACTATAAAATATCTGTTTATGATAAGGTATATGAAACCGACATCGATTGGGTTTCCCGACGTACGGATTCAGTACACATTTACCTGTTCTGTATTGTATTCCACACGTACTATAAAAGTAAGGGAAGAACTAAGAAATATTTAGCGCACCTCTGCAATACAAAAATGACTCCATTTAGTTCGTTTTCTCTATATAGTCTTTAATAATTTAATAAATTCATGCAATAGACATCTTCGGCTGGAAGTAAAAGTCGAACTAAAAATTAACAATAAACTGGAAAGTAGAATTTATTTGTTTAGTAGTCTAGTCCAGACTAGTTTAGACTACTTCGATCATTCTCGAGTATAAAGTAGTGGTATGTAGATTTATTACTGAAAGTTGAAGTCCAGCTTCCTATTTTAACCTATTTTCCTTATGTCACCTCGACTTGTGGATCCTTATTAGATAGATAAGTACTTTACAAAAGCTATGGGACGATCTTAGAAATCGATTTTACCAATAACAGTTGTAGACCTAGTAAATAATTGACATTTTATATTGTGCCGTTCTGTGCAAAACTATAGGTGAGAAAAGCTCAACTTTAATGTGCCAAATTAGTTTTTGTATGCAAAGAATAAATGACCCTGCTCACTCTTACGACCTTCCAAAATTTGAAGTTTGTATTCGCAGTATTCAGTTCTTATAGTAGATTTACGTGAATCAACTGTTTTGAATAAATTATTTACTTCAATAAGGTGGTTTATCCATCGGTTTTTGAAGTGCGGAAAGTACCGTCAATAATGACTACCAAAATATCGAAGCGATCGATGAAGTTATAATATTTATCTAATAAATACAGACATGTAAGTATATGAAAATTCCGGAATTCATACTCACACAAAAGTGTTGGTTTAAAAAATACCTGTATTATCGGCAAAAGTAACATCTAAAGAATGGTAAAATGGACAAATTGTGACAACGCATAAAAAAGAGATCAACTACATTGTAAAAATTGCCGAGGAATAACACTTCGAAATACAGCTTACAAAGTTTTACCCACACTTATACAAGAAATATTGATAGAAGAATAAAAGAATATAATTGGGCAACACCAATATGGTTTAAAACAAATCATAGACAAAACATTTGACTCAATTAAACGAGAATAATTTTTAAGAACAATGTATCACCAAAAGTGATAAGACTGAGTACCACGACTATGAAAAGAACAGTAATTAGTATCAAAACGGAGAGAAACGGAGGAATTTTATACCAATAAATGTCTTAAACAGGGAGATTGATTGTCAGCGACGTTATTTCATCTGGCCGTGCAGCATCGGCTAAGGAAACATAAATATCGGAACTATTATCGTATGCAGCCGATATCGAACCAACCACAAAGAGAAGGGAAATAAAGGAGAGTATCTGTGGAGAACTGACAATATTCTGCTCAAAATAGGATCTAAGAACTTTGAAGCAGTAAACAAATTTAAATCCTATGGGTAATAATAACTAGTAAAGGAGAAAGAGATACTGAGATACTAATAGTTATATGATTTTATTCACTGTATTTTTTGTTCTCAATCACAATTATTGTTCTTTATATTCGGAAAATAAATAAGTACAGTTTGATCTTTTTTTGGAAAAGCGTTGGAAATGTATTCATTTGAAGAATGTTTTTATAGGTATTAAAAATAGTTTGTTTCTACTCAGCACCTCAGTATACTCAGTATATGAAACGGAAATCGATATCGCATTCGGTTTTTTTTTTTGTAGAGATTTTATTAAGTTCATTGTCAAGAATTGTAAAAGTGGAACTAAAAACTGAAAGTAAACTCTAGATAGCAGAATTTATAAACTTAAGATTTATTCGATGACAAGTATAAAGTGGATGTTTATTGGCGAAACTAACCTAGCCTTGTGGTCAGCTTATTGGATAGATAAGTAAATATGCTTCTGAAAAACATTAATTAAAACATACCTATTGTTAACTTTAAAATTGCTTTTACGCTCCTTGGTAATTTATTTTAACAGCTGTTGATTTGGTAATTAAATCACCTATCATATTGTGCCATTCTCTCCAAATGTGGTGATATTGGTTTTAATGATTCCTTGTTTTTTTTTTTATTAACTATTCCATTTTTCAATTATGCTGTGGAAGTTTTATAAACATGGACTACAAATGTGTTTGTATACATATATCAAATAGCTTTCGAATGCCTATCGATTTGTCTAAATGAGGGGGATCAAGAATTGGATAAAAAAATGGTATTGGTCATGAATAGTCATGACTGTATTAATGCTATTAACCATTTTAACTGTTTGGGTAAATAAAATCAATCCGGTCCAGGGTAGTCGTAAGAAAGAAGTAGATAATTTTTTCAGCAATTTTCAGAAAGTTCACTTGTTTTGTCCTGAAGGTAGCCTTATGAGAAGTCTTTAATGTTTTTCCTGAAAGTAGAGTACAATTCAAGTGTGATGCATATTAAACCAAGTCTGGTCTAATAGCATATATTTCTTTTTTCTAGGCGAAATTGTTGAATTTTAGTCAACTATATTGCTGGCCATTACACTAATCGTTATGTCTCTTTAATGCAACTACGTTTGACGATATTTTTAAATCTAAATCCAATTTTGTGCAGAAATCCGCTACTGATGACGATTTTCTTTTAATTTATGTTAACCATACACTTAAGCAACTTCACACTGCTTTATTATTTCTAAACACTTTCATTATGCGTTTGTCACATCTTTCCTTCCTTCAGTTGACGTTCTTGGAAGACCATCAGATACATTGAATTAAAAATTATAAATTATTAGTGTGCTATGTTATATTTTCAGCAGGGCTGTAATAAATCTTTACTGACGTCTTTTCAAATACCTCTTCAAAATTTAAATACGTAGAAACAATATGTGCAAATGTCATATAATAAAGATAAACACATAA